AGGCAGACGCACACTCCTCTCCAGGGCAGACGCGATGCAACCAGCCACCAGGTCAGACATGCTGAATCTTTCCCGGTAAGACTGGTGCTACACAGATTACTAAATATGGGTTAGGCGAGATTGTGAGAATTAGCCATTAAGAGGCTAGAACTAATGGGCCAAGCAGTGTTTAAAAGAATACAACTTGTGTGTTGTTATTTTGGGGCATAAGCTAGCCAGGAGGCTGGGAGCCGGGCAGCTCCTACTACAAGCAATTTCCGATCCAGCCATAGAATTTCCAGATGTCTCAAAACCTGTTTGTCCATGAAACAAAAGAAAATAGGGGTTTTAATCCAAACTTTGGGGATGAAAATGTCTGTGAAGTCCTTGTCCAAATGACTGGACCCTTAGCCAGATGTTGGCCCATCTGTCTAAGCACAGTGGCAGCTAGTGCTTGATTAATGAGAGAAAACAACAGAAAATTCTGGGTCAAGATCTTATCCTCACAGCACACCACAGCATGCCCGAGGCTGCCCTCTTGTGATGACACAGGTGCTCGTCCAACACTGTCAAGAATGAAAGATGAAACCAGGTCCATGGGAGCCATACCAGTTCCACTGACTGAAAAATAAGGATGCACACCAGGAACCTCAGCCCAGAGAGCAGAACTGATCCATTTGAACTAGGCTCTTGGATGAGGAAAAAGGAAAGCCCACCTCCACCATCCACATGGACAGTCACTATACTCATACTGTCTGCTATGTCCACAGTATGATCTAGAAAGAGGGCTGCACAGCACTGGGAAAAGGACTTTAAAATCTTGGCCCTCCTACAGGCTATTTGGCTTCCCCTACAAACAGTTTTCCTCCACTGCTGGGCTCCTGACCCAGCTCTTCAAACCAGTGGGGCCTGTTGGTATTTTGGAAGTGGGGTGAAGGGTGTAAATTGAATATCTAATAACATACCATGACCCCTTACTGCCTGAGATATTATGGTTTAAAAAAAAAAAAAAGTTCAAATCCACAGGATGATTGAGGATACCTGGTGTAGGAGTGCCTTCTGTCCATGTGTTGCTTTCATTGGTTAATGAATAAAGAAACTGCCTTGGCCTAGTTGATAGGTCAGAACATAGGTAGGCAGGGAAGACAGAAATGAATGCTGGGAGGAAGAAAGACGGAGTAGGAGAGAAATGTCATGGAGCCACCAGAGACAGACATGCCTGATCTTTCCCAGTAAGCCACTGCCACATGACAATACACAGATTAACAGAAATGGGTTAAACTAAGATATAAGAGTTAACCAATAAGAGGTTATAGCTAATGGACCAAACAGTAATTTAATTAATACAATTTCTATGTGGTTATTTCGGGGCTAAGCTAGCCCAGTGGCCGAGGTGGACAAGCGGGCCCCCTCCTTGCAACAGACATCAGAGGAAAGGGTCACCCTCCCAGAAACAAGTGACTGGACTGTTGGTAACTAACCTTCACCAGGCTATTCATCTGGGGCTCACAAGCTTTCTGAGTTGTTCAGACCAGGGTTTAGTAAGTGTAGACCGTAGACTGGACAGCCTAGCAAGGCGTGTCTCAGCCAGATATCAGGCTTTTACTCAAGTGAATTCATTAAAAAGATTTGGGCCTGTGGGAAACAGGAAACACTGGCAGAATCAGACTGTAGGCCACAGGAAGGAACCCTGAGATAGACTTAATCATTACCAGCCATAGGCCAGGACTGCTGGCTTTGTTTAGACACTTGGCCCCTGTCATGTTACATATGGATAGGAACTAACCAGACTGCCAGCCCATTGACAGACAAAACTCACTGTGACTGGAGTCAGCCCAAATCAATGTACTGCTTTATGGGTTAATGCATCAGGATAACAACAATATGATTGATTAGGACTACTTGGGCGGCATGTAGCAATGGTTTTACCACATGTGCCTCTTCTTATGATTTCCATACTAAACAAATAGGTTGATCAGGACCTGATGGTATTGAAAGTTTCTATTTCTGAATTAAAACAACAGTTAAGATTACTACAAAATTGAACAGGCTTAGACTTCATTGTCATGAGATAAAGGAAACTATGTATAGTTTTGGGGGGGGGGGAACCTGCTGGTCCTATACTAATTGATCAGAAGTAATTTAAAATAAAATATGGCAAAGGTTGGGGTAATCATCAATACCAGTCTCTTCCTTGTCCCACTGGCTAACTACTCTGCTATCGGCAGTGACTGGGTCTTTAATCCTCGTTCTGATTGGATTAATGGTGGGTCCCTGCATCCTAACTAAAGCAGGATGAGTCCATGATTTGATTCACTAACTCAGCCCAGTGGGAAATATAACAGGCCCAAGTCCTTAGTAGGCCCCCGACCTAAGCACACCTGACTCCAAGATGGAAGTGCCACTCGGGCTGTAAAACTCAGCACATAGAACCTAACACCTGCCAAAACAAAACAAAGTGCACACCACCAAAGTGCATATTTACAGTAAGTCTCTACATGTACTAACCTTGCATTTAGTCTGTAGCTCTGCTTCTGGCTAATGGTTCCTGTTAACTGAAGTATGTCAACCCAGAACATGATTTTTGTGCCTAAAAGCTCAACCTAGGAAAGGCTCAGGGCTATGCTAGGATACAGGAACAGCCAGTGTGTCTACAGGCCAGCTAATAAAGACCTGCTATTATTGCCTTAAACCTATGTTCCAGCAGTCTTCTCTGGTGAATACTCACAGCAAGCACATCATGGAACTTTCTCCATAACTGTAGACAAACTCAGACACAAAGCAAGTCTCCACAGACACAAGAAAACTGAAATAAGCCCTGCATCCTGTCAGACACCACAGATTAAAGCTGGACATCAACAACAGCAGAAGAATCAGAAAGCTTTCAAACACATGGAACCTCAGCACCTCATTTTTAATTTTTAATTTTCATTTATTAATGAAAAATGAATCAAGATAGAAATAAAGAAATGAAATGATAACCATGCCACAGACTGAATTCTTTCTCAAGGTATCAGCCCATGGGGCTGGAGAGACAACTGAGCAACTAAGAGCACTGGCAGCTCTTCCAGACATCCTGAATTCCATTCCCTAGCAACCACACGGTGACTCACAATCATCTTAGTGGGATCTGATGGCCTTGTCTGGACTAGAGCACTTGTATACATAAAATAAATAATCAACCTTAAAAAAAAAAATCACTGTGTCTAGTAACCGAGACCGCCCAAAAAAATAATAATAAGATCAGACCATTAATCTTTCATTTGATTTCCCAGGACATGTACAGAATACAGAGAGACAGTATAACAAAATCGTACACAACCTGTCTTCCTGACTCTTCTCTTGCTCCGAAGAAGCACTATGACCGAGGCTTTAAAGGGAAGGCTTTTAATTTGGTGATCAATTACAGTGATGGAGGCTCAGTCCATCCTCATCTTGAAAGGAAGTGTCCCAGTGGGCAGGCCTGAGACTGAGGGTTACATCATGATACAAAGGCAGGCAGCAGGCTGGAAGAAACACTAGCCTTGCACTGAGTTTTAAAAGCTCAAAGCCCACCTACAGTGACACACATACACAAACGAGATACATCTACTCCCAGAAGGGCAGACCCCCTAATTTTACTCAATCACTTCCACTAATTGGGGCCAACTATTCAAAGATAGGAGCCTGAGAATGCTGAGCAAATATAAACCATCACAGGAATACAGTCTATGAAGAACTCTGAAGAGGAGTCAAAGATACTAAGGAAAACAGAGAGAGAGGAAGACGAGAAGACAGAGAAAGAGAGACAAACAAAAGGAAAAACTAGGGGCTGGAGAGATGGCTCAGAGGTTAAGAGCATTGCCTGCACTTCCAAAGGTCCTGAGTTCAATTCCCAGCAACCACATGGTGGCTCACAACCATCTGTAATGGGATCTGGTGCCCTCTTCTGGCCTGCAGCATACACACAGAGTATTGTATACATAATAAATAAATAAATATTTTTTAAAAAAAGGAAAAACTACTCTAAATACGAGGAGAAACTCCTCTGGATGGATTACAGGCTTCCTTAATATAACCTTCCCTACTCTACCGAAGAAGAGATTACACACCCTGCAGCGGTGGCGCACACCTTTAATCCCAGCACCTGGGAGGCGGAGGCAGGTGGATCTCTGTGAGTTTGAGGCCAGCCTGATCTACAGAGTGAGTTCCAGAACAGGCTTCAAAACTACACAGAAACCCTGTCTCGAAAAACCGGGAAGAAAGAAAGAGAGAGAGAGATTACACAATTCAAGGCCATGGCATGATCCCTTGTTTCCCTCCCTACCCAGTTCCTTCAGAGAACCTGGACAACCTTGATCAGGTCTGCTGGAAGCAACGAAGGCATCAGTCTCTTACTGTGCTTAAGTGTGGCTGTTGTAGATGACACCATCTGGAAGGTGCATTCTTTGTTTGTTTGTCTGCTTTTTTGTTTTTGGTTTTTCGAGTCAGGGTCTCTTTGTAGTTTTGGGGCCTGTCCTGGAACTTGCACTGTAGACCACGCTGGTCTCGAACTCACGAGATCCGCCTGCCTCTGCCTCCCAAACGCTGGGATTAAAGGCGTGCGCCACCACCTCCTGGCACTTTTTTTTTCCCACACAGGATGTCTCTCTGTAGCCCTGGCTGCCCTGGAGCTCGCTCTATAGCCCAGGCTGACCTGTGCTTCCTATGTACTAGTTTCAAAGCATGCAGCACCACCGCTGATATTTTAACAAATTAAGCCCGAAAGTCTTCAGTCCAGCAAACATGGAGATTACAACGGACGTCAGCACGGTGACAAGGACGTTCCCACACAAAGGTCCATGCACCCCACGCTCTGCCAGGAGCAAGCCGCAGAGCGAAATCGCTCAGAGGTCCCGCTTCACCACGGGACTTGCAGGGACCTCAGGGGGCAAAGGGAATCACTCCACCCACCGCGTCCGCCGCCGGTTCCCACAGACCCGGGAGGACCCCACACCGGCTCCCGCGGCTCCTCCCGCGTGGGGACGGCGGCCCTCGCTCACCATGGCGGATTCCGAGCTCAGCCCCATCTCCTCAAAGCTCCCGGCAGCAAAACACGTGGAACTAGAAGCGGCCTCTCCTGTAGTCCGCCGATAATACAGTATGGCGAACCGGAAGTGCCCTCCCCATGCTGACTGGCAGTCCATCTGGAGGCTCTGATTGGCTACTGAGGCCTGAGTGACAGAAACAACTCCCTTAGGATCAGAGTGCTGTGAAGTGAGGACGCACGACGGTTCCCAGCCCTGGCTTCCTGCCCAGGCACACAACTGCCCCAGACCTGCAGAGACTGGCATTGCCACAGAACTAGGGGCTGGACTGCAAAGTCTTCCCTGAACAATCCCTGCACTCAGTAGGACTCTTTTCTGGGGCATTAGTGAGGTTTTGCCAAGAAACTGAGAAAGGACTAAGGAAACCGGACACTTCCTGGGTTAATAATATCTCAGGCCAGCAGTGGAAAACGGGCTATGATTTTCATTTTTGTAAAAAGAAAGTTTGATTTAAAAAACCATGCACTAATCTGCACTCCCTTAAACCGCTGTGCTGTGGAAAAGGCCCATCAGTGCAAACACAGGATTTAGAGAACTAAACCCCACGGGGTCAGAGTGAGCTTGTTACTTCTCACGCCATGTTTACTGTAGAGCCGCAGACTCTGATGACGAAATTATACATATTTTACTGCCTACTTGACATACGGGTATACAGATTTGTTTTTCCCTCTTAATTCTGCATCATTAGTGAAAATAAGTAAACCAAATTAAGAATAATACTTTTTTTGAGCTAAAGTTTCTCTATGTAGCTTTGGAGCCTGTCTTGGAGCTCGCTCTGTAGACCAGGCTGGCCTCGAACTCTCAGAGATCAGCCTGCCTCTGCCTCCCAAGTGCTGGGATTGAAGGTGTGTGCCACCACCACCAGCTAAGAATTCTTACTTTTACATCATTCTCCTATTGCTTCATTTTCTTTGTCAGAGCCTCACACTGCAGTCCTTGCTGGCCAAAAACTCACTATGCAGACCAGGCTAGCCTAAAAATCATAAAGATCAGTTTGTCTCTGCTGCAGAGAGCTCAGACTAAAGGCCTGCACCACCATGCCCGACTTCTATTCATTCTTCACGTTTAGTAATGAAATAAACAAACTAGGTGTGGCACACAGTTGCACTCTGTATGGAGGATACTCTTCAGAAGGACTGCTGTGAGGGTTAGGCAAGCATGGGTTATAAGCGAGACCCTATCATCTCAAAAGAGCAAATGCCACCCCAGCATCTTAGGTCATTAGTGCCAGTCTTAGTTCTGGAGCCCACATGGGTATATGGCACCCCGGCCTGTGAACCAAGCCTACAGTCTACATTTTTGACATCCCTGCCTGGAATCTGCGACAGAGCTGAAGCAGCAGCAGCAGCAGCAGCAGCAGCAATGGGATGAAGAGTCCATGTCCAGCTGCTCTGCTGCTGTGCTCCACTGCTGTGTGGAGGAATTTTAACCTGTGTCCTGACTGCAGGCCTTCCACTGAGGATTCTTTAAAGCCACACTAACATTTGACTGGCATGTTCAGTCTGTTAAATTATATGATTTCTGGCTCAGGTAATCAACTTTCCCAGGGCTACTCATTTGTACATGAACTTGAAAAGTACCAGGTACAGTCACATGCTAGTGCTGATTATAAAATGGCTGGATGCTGGGGGCACAGAGGTCTTTGTACTCACAGAGAAGCAGTAACAGAGCCAGGAACATTAATCACATAAGGGCATCTGCTCAATGGAGAAGATACAAATCATATACCTGTTGTTGATTGTTTTTTTCTTAACTCTTTTTGGATCTTTGGTTGGCTTGTTTCTCTTCAGCTTTTCTGAAATTATCCCATCTTTCTTTTGCCTCTGAGTTTTTAACCTTTCTCTGTTTCTGTATACCTTTCTTCACTTCTTCCTGAGTGACTGACTGTGTAGCTGGGTAGCTAGACCCTTGCATCCTTCTCTCCTCCTTTTGTTGCTCCTTAATCTTTTCTTCCCAGATTTCTCATTCTATTTATTCTCTCTGCCTGCCAGTTATTGGCTGTTCAGCTCTCTATTAGACCAATCAGGTGTTTTAGAGAGGCAAAGTAACAGCTTCACAGACTTAACAAATGCAATATAAAAGAATACAAACCTCTGGACATTATTGAACAAATGTCCCACAGCATAAACAACACATCTTTAACTGATATTCTACAACATCCCCCCTTTTGTCTAAATAAAAATGAAAGGTTTTAACTTAACATGTAAAACTATATACAACAAAAACAGATATCTAGGAAGAATTACATTTACAATATTCAGTGTGTTGAAGGAGGCTGCTCATTCATTCCTGGGCACCTAGCTCCAAAATAATCACACAGAAACTATATTATTTGCAATACTGTTTGGCCAATAAGTCTAGCATATTCTTAGCTAGCTCTTACATTTTATTAATCTGTGTATAACTGCATGGCAGTGGCTTACTGGGTAAAGTTTTGGTATCTCACTTACTCTGCCTTCTTTCTCTCAGCATTCAGTTTAGTTTTCCCCGCCTAGCTCTGTTCTGCCCTGTCATGTGCCCAAGCAGCTTCTTTATTCATTAACCAATAAACCCAAACTTTTCAGGTTTTAAGTGGATTTATTTGGCCACGTTGGCACCAATCTGTTGATGAAGGCCATTTGTTTGTTCCCAGCCACTCAGACTCAAAACAATCACACAGAAACTATATTATTTAAAACACTGCTTGGCCAATAGATTAAGCATATTGCTAACTAGCTCTTATATATTAAATTAACCCATTTCCATTATTTTATATTTTGTTATGAGGTTCATGGTTTATCAGTAAAATTCCAGGTCATGTCTGTCTCCTTCTGTGGCTGCTACATGGTGTCTCATTGACTCTGCCTTCTTTCTCCCAGCATTCAGTTTAGTTTTTCCCACCTTGCTCTGTTCTACCCTGTCATGGCCCAAGCAGCTTCTTTATTCATTAACAAATAAAAGCAAGATATATACAAAAAAAATCACACATCACATTTCATTTGCATTTGGCAAATTTAGAGAAAATACTCCATTTTTTTGTCTTAGTGATTCCAAAGTTTTATACAAGATTTACTTTCTATCATAACTAAGGAAAACTGAAACACTAGTTATTTAGTCTTTAACTTCATCATAGACACCAGAAGGATATAATATTACCTGAGTAAACAGGAAGTACATTACAAGAAACCTCCAAAATTCTACAGATGACAGATATCTGACTTCCTGAGCAATCACCCAGAATTCCTCTGCAATATTAGAGCATCTATCTTCAGCCTAGAATATCTGGCAGACTTTCCAGTGAAGCAGGAAATTTGAAGGACTGTCACATCTTATATGGGCAAGGTTTATCAGTTGCTTTCCTCTGTGCCCTGCGGAATCTCAGGCAGACTCTTCTGTGAAGCTGGAACCCTGAGGGACCATCCAACCTTGTTTTAGCAAAGTTCAGCAGCCACTTTCCATATTGGACACCATTTGTGATCAGAGACTGCACTTTTTAATTTCTCAGCCACTCAGACCCAAATAATCCTACAAAAACTATATTAACTACAACACTGTTTGGTCAATGGCTCAAGGGTATTCCTAGCTAGCGCTTATATCTTAAATTAACCCATTTCTATTATTTTATATTTTATAAATATATTTTGTATTTTAAGTGTATTTTATATTTTACCACGAGGCTAGCATCTTGGGTGGCTACATAGCATCTCTTTGGCGCTGCTTGGATTTTCCACCGAGCTTTACTCTGCTAAGCCATTGGCCAAAACAGCTTTATTCATCAACCAATAAAAGTAACACATTTATAGAAGGACATGCCACATCAATCCTGAATGTCTAATTTTTATAAAATACTGTCAGGCAGTCAAGGCAAAAGCAGTTTCTGATGAAGCAGCTAATCTTGTCACAGTGAGAACAAACTCCTATGGAGTTTCTTCAATGCCCATCATCCTTTTATGAAATAAATTGGTACTGCCAAGAACAGAGTTGTCTCATTGTTGTAAAAAACCCTACATGAAGGCTGGAGAGATGGCTCAGTGGTTAAGAGCACTGGCTGCTCTTTCAGAGGTCTTGAGTTCAATTCCCAGTCACTATATGGTGGTGCACAACCATCTATAATGAGATCTGGTGCCCTCTTCCAATCTGAAGGCATAAATGCAGACAGAACACTGTATACATAATAAATAAATAAATCTTTTTTTAAAAAGAAAAGAGAAAAATGCTACATGAGCAAAACATTTTAAATGCCATATTCTATAGGTCTTGGAAGTGTTTGAAGGCCATCTGTCTATCTAAAATATATCTCTGTATGATCTTGAAAACATACCTAACTTATCTACAGATTTGATTGATAAAAGTGACTAATTACTAACCTGTGTTTTTTATTATCCTAATTTATAATAATAGTTTCCAAAACTAAAATTTTACCTTACAATTTTAAATGAACTGCATAGGTACAATACCTTAAACAAGAGTATAAACAAACATACAGTGTAACAAAAATAACTGTGAATTTGTATCAATATACTATACTATAAAATGTGGGAGTCACTTTCTCTAGACTGCTCCTGTTGTCTGTGGGTGAAGCATCTTTAGGAGTCCCTGAGAAAATTGATATAATGGCTGTGTCCTGGGAAAACCAGTGGTAACCTTTGTTGATACATAACACCTATCAAGTTTGAGGCAGTTTCTCTTGATCAAACCTAATCCATATTGACCGGAAATAAATCCACAGCCTCTCATTTCCTGTGAATACAAAAGCAAAATCTCTTTTCCAAAGTAATAAATCTTTTAAGTCCCATTTTACAAATACATTTTTTGACTTTCCTTTTAAAGTTAAGGCATAGATTGCTTTGTTTCATGGCCCCTGCTTCAATCCCATGTGTATAAGAGCTGTTGTTTGCTTATCAACAAGTTAATATAGCAATATACAGAATCCAGATTCCCTGTGTATTTACCATCTCTGTATGGCTTATTGTTTCTTATTGCTTTACTTTTTCAAAAACTTTAATATTTTAAGCTATTAATTTCTTTCTATATGGTCCATACATGTTTTCTTTCT